AGAGACGCCAGTCGCTTGAAGGCTGCGTGGGATTCACTGCTTGGGACTCAACTCTGTCAAGAATTAGTTATCCGAACGATTACTTTGGAAATAGCAGACTATATTTTAAGTAAAATTCTGCTTTTAGCATTTATAGCCATATTTCCGCCTGACACCTAATGCAATGATCAGATTTATTGTTCTTTTTGTTGAGTTGCGCATCATTTGTCAGTCTCTGGGTGATAACACTGAGGGTAAGAGATCTTTATTTTCTCTTTCTTTATGAAACGGTAATCTTCTCTGGTTTGAACGGTGTAAAGTTTTTTTTGTAAAGCAAAGTACATAATTGAAGCTCTCTCAACCGTTCAGCTGTGTTTACCTTTGCACTGAAGTTACGGACTTTCAGGTCTTAATGGAGAAATTGAGATTTTGTTTGAGCTTTTAGGAATGAATTGAATATAAAAACCTTCATAAATAATAGAATGCAGGCTAAAGTGACTCAATTCTTTAATTTTGCGTTTTAGTCTTTTCCCTCCATGCTATTGATTCTCAAAACCCCACACTGTCATTCAGTGGCGCACTAGTTTGTCTTGGAAGATTCTGATTCACAAATGATTCAGACTCCAGGGGAATAAGTCACGTACATTTGGCCAAAGGAGCAGTTTCATAGACATAAACATACATTGTTTCATCCATTAAGCGTTTAATGTATCTAAAGACATATTATTAACATGTTCAGTTTGATGAATGATGTCCATACCATCTAAACAGTTGTAATCATAACCCAGTAAATCACTGAGTGTGAGCTCACCATTTGTGACAGAGCCCTAATTTGACCTTTCTAAAGGAACAACTTTACCTGTGTCATGTTTGGGTCCAAGACCAAACAAACAAACAAGCAAGAAATATCTTGCCATGTACTGTATCAGCTATGCGAGTTAACTGATTGAATGCTCATGGGAATGTACATATTTTGTGTGATTGAAAGAGTAAAGTTGTTTGGCTTTCGGCACAGTTCCAAATAGTTTGTGAAAATGAGAACATCATTTTCCTCACACAAATTGGAAAGTTTTCCCTTGAGGAGAGCTACATAATGTTTTCCAGGTAGTGTACAGCAGTGTGGGTATTGACAAATGTTGAGTCACAGTCTTGGTATGTTTCAACTGTAGACTGCTGCAGTCAGTCTCTATCCGTATAAATTCTGCATTTATATATTTAAATAAATGTATTTAAAAAGTCTGCCTATCTGTCCATGGTGTTTCTTTGCCTAAAGCCCAAGACTCTGGGATAAGCTCCAGCATCCCCCGACCCTACATAGGACAAACGGTTTGTAAATTGGATGGATATTTAAAATGAGATCCCTCTAGGCCTGGCAACATCTTTGCATACCGTTATCCTCTTTCCATATCATTGGCATAGATTCAGATATTCTTGTGCTCAGACATGTCTCAATCTTTTACTTTGAAGGAAATGGTGAGTTGTAAGAATATATTCCGTGACTCAATAAGTATCCATCCATTTGTCTATAGCTGCTTGTTCTATGTACAGTCACTGGATTCTATCCCAGCATGACTACGGATGAAGGCAGGGAAACACCCTAGACAGGTGACCAGCTGCCAGTATTAGGTGAACTTCAGCTTAGAAAATGAGTGAAATGTAAAAGTTTTTTCATGCATGGAAAAGTACTCCTCCTGATGAGACAGTCGCTACAAAATTATTTTCAAAGATCCTAATCCAGTAAACATGGACTTGGAAACCCTGACTTGGCTGGATCTTCAGTTTTCTGTGTGTAAACAGCAGCACCTTTTGGCAAATGTGATTTTGGCATTGGCTAAAACAATTCTGTCCTAGATTTCAACTGACATTCTGTACAGCATTGAACTTTTTTAAGCTCCCTTTAAGGGGTCTTCTCTGAATATTTTTCCTGAAATTATCCTTATATTTTAGGGAAAGCTCATGGTTCTAAATAATGTGTGTCAAAGAGGTTTATGTATGTGAAACCAGAAAAGCGTGAGAGTGGAAAGAATGATGATGGTGGCTGTGCTGCTTGGAAACAAAAACCGGTGTGGTTGGGGATCTTTTTCTCTACTGCTGAGGCTGCAGGATACTAATGATGCAGCTGATTTGCTGCTATGATGATGTGCCGGCCAATATTTAGACTGTCTTTTGGAAGATGACTTTTAGAAGACTTTTTTTAGATCAAAGCTTCGGGTTTTATATTTGCTCTTTTAGGCTCAGCATCTTCTTACCATGACAACAATGAAGTTGTGCATGAGGACGAGACTTACTACACCCCTCAGTTGGACTATAAACGTAAATATGTGCACTAATTATACAATATGACTAAATACGAAATGCTACAGGTACTTTAAAACCATTTTTGCCATCAGATCCGCAGTGGTGCCATGTACTTAAGCTGTCCAATGGAGAAGTGTCCTGTTCCTCTCCTCGAGGCGGGCACCACCGGGGCTCGCTTGGAGCTCGCTGTTTGCTCTCCTGTGTTCGAGGATATAAACGGCTGGGACGATCATCTGTGCAGTGCATGCCCAACCGCCGCTGGTCTGGATCCGCTGTTTGTCGAAGTAAGTACACTTAAAAGGTGTCATAATAATTGTGTCACAAAACTAACTCTTTGATACAGTAACAAACATGTATTTGGCACTTGAACCATGTGTTTATATTATGTCTGAATCTTAGAGATACGCTGCCATGTTCTGCCTCTGATTGACCACGGTATGTACAGTTGCACCCGTGGTTTCGTGGTAGACTCCAGGTGTGACTACACCTGCTATGAAGGCTACCAGATTGAGGGAGATCGCTACCGGATGTGCCAAGAAGAGGGAACATGGAGTGGCACAGAACCGACGTGTGCAGGTACATTTGCAAGTCTAGTCTAATGTATTCATTTGATAAGACTGCAGATGCCATTATGTCATTATCTATTAAATCAGAGAGAATACGTTGTAACATTGAATAAAAATTGCATTGTTTCAGATCATGACCCCCCCAAACTGAAATGTCCTTTGTCCAGAGTGAAGATAGCAGAACCAGGAAAACTAACTGCCATGGTTTCATGGGAGCGTCCTGTTGCTAAAGATACCGCTGACAGAGCACTTCAGTATGTGCATCACATTTTATGAAAGCCACCCAACTTCCTCCGTGTCTAAGAAGCAACCTGTAAACTGCATTTTTGTCATCCTTTATCAGGGTCTTGCGAAATGGGCTGGAGTCTGGATCCGACTTTCCTGAAGGAATGCATGTAATTCGATATAAAGTCTCTGACCAGGCTCGCAACACAGCCACATGCAAGTTTACAGTGCATGTTGAAGGTGAAGCCAGTATACAATTTTGATTTGCTTCTGCTTCGAAGTGTTAAAGAGAAAGTTCACTCAAACATGAAAACGGTGTCATCATTTACTCACCTTTGTTATTTCTGATTTCTGTGGAACATACATATTGGACCCCACTGACTTAGTTTCATTACATGGACCAAAAGCACTGAGACATTTTTCAAAATATATTTTGCATTCAACAGAAGAAATAAAGCCATGAGTAAATGATTACAGAATTAAATTATTTTGGGGAACCATGCCTTTAACTGTAACTAATATTATTAATATGTGACTTAAGGTTTTAACTTCCTTCTCTAGATCCAGTCAGTTGTACTATACAGTGGTATATATGCCTAAAACCGAAATGTTCTTTCCCTCAGTGAGACGATGCCCAAAGCTAAAGCCGCCTATGCATGGCTATCTGACATGCTCATCTGATGGCAATAATTATGGGGCTGTATGTGAATATGATTGTGATCCTGGCTTCGAAAGGACAGGTTTTGCAACACGCGTTTGTCAGCTCAGTCGCAGCTGGTCTGATGAAGCCGCTCAGTGTGTATGTGAGTATGTGGTTAGGTTTATTTTTAACTGAAACAAAGTCAAATACTTTTTCTAAATGTTGTGTGTGAAACATTTGCTTTTTCTTTTAGTAATGGCTATTAAAACAGACGTCAGGTCTGCTGGTGCTCTGCTTGACCAGTTTTATGAAAAGAGAAGGCTTCTTGTTGTGTCTACTCCAGACAACGCTAACCAGAAGTACAGGCTTCAGAATATTATGCTGCAGGTAGTATAGACACTGTGCGTCTTGGACTAAAGCAAAAATTATTTTAAATAAGGAGAGTATCGATCTTATTACAGTGCATAATATGATTGTGGGAACATTCTGACAGAAAGCTGAGTGTGGTCTGGATCTGCGACATGTGACAGTGATCGAGCTGTTAGGAACTTCACCTCGTGAAGTGGGCCGCATCAAAGAACAACGACTAGATCCTGAAGTCATAGAGGGTCTTAGGTAACTTCCGAATTATCTACACAGTAGTGTTTACATGTTAAATACTGTATACTTAACTATTGTATTTACAGACTTCCATGGAAGTCATACTGGCAGATGACTGCAATATTACAAACGAATACACATGATATTAACAATATTTACTTTTTTAAAGTCCTGTAAGTTCCCAATTGATAAAATCAAATCCTATTCTAAGCTTTCTCATTGTATATCAAGTAACATGGAATTCATCTGGATTTAATACCGACTTTAAGTTCCAGCAGAGACATACTGACCAGCCTATTTTCTATTCAAGACCAGGCCATATTTTGATAAAAGACACATGACAATTTTGGACAAAACACTTTCATGAGGTTTTGCAACAACAGTGACTCTGAAAGAAAGTGCTGAAAGAAAATGCTTGGCTGATTCTCTCCACTGTGCATGTGTGTTTCCAATCTAAATGTGGTTTTCATGTGCTTTTTGTTTGTATGTAACAGACAGGCACTGTATATATCTACGGCATATTTCACCATGGTGCTGCTGGATGAGTATGGTGTGGATCGGGAGCGCTTTGTTAACCCCACCACCTCTGATGAGCTCTACTCATATGTAGATGAGTATCTCCTCGCAGAGGAGGAGCTAGAGAGACTGGAGATGAACAGGGACTTCTGTGACTGACCTCGGTCTGATCAACTCCAGATCTGATGTTGTGGGTGGGAGTTTTCTTTATAGCGACAGGCACCTCAAGAGCCTGTTTCCTTGACAAACAATCATTTGAAACTACATATTGCAGATATTATTCACAGAGAATCACAGCTGGAAATGTGATTTAGACCGGAACAGGTTTTAATCTGCAACTGGAAAAGTGCCATGTGAGGATGCCCAAGATATTCAAATATTCTGAAGAAACTATCTATAAATCGAGTGCACAGCACACAATGTGGATTCTTAAAAATATTTAATATTTATTTTAATGCTGGTATTTTCATGTAGCTCCTAAAAAGAAGTTGCTCACAATGGAGTAAATCAGCATTATGACGTTAAAATACATTGTGTTTAAACACGTAAATATTTTTGGGCCATTTATCAAGTGCACGTTTAAAACCAAAGTATTATTCAAACTAAAATATTTACGGTCTCCATTTTTAAGAACAGCATTCAAATGATGTTGTATTTCAAAACATCCATTCAGCTGCAACATTTATAGGAAATAAATATAATTAACATATACACACTGCACATTTCCATATCATTATTTGTGAACTGCCTTAAATGTTTAAAAATATAAAAGCATCTTATGCACGGTCATATGCATTAACCTAAAAAGTCTTTAAAATATTACTGTGATGCATTAATGTTCTCATATTGCACAGCTGTAACAGCAACACACAAATGTTGTGGAATGTGTAACCCCCTGTCCTGATAATGGCTTTGAGTGGGGGGTATTGCGCAATGTCCTTACTTGCCCTTTCCCATGGACGAGCGCAGTGGAAGAGTGCCCTCTGCCCAAGAGTCAGGGTACTGCATCATCTTCCTCCACAGCAAGATCTCCTCCCCTGTGGAGTCTGCCACCCACCCTTCCTTTCCCTCCTTGATATTCACTGTGAAAACATCCATTTAGACATTTCTAATGTTCCAAATGATTTCAATTTCAAATGCTGTTCTTTGGATCTTTCTTTTTATGTAAAATGTATCATGGTTTCCACAGAAACATTGAGCAGCACAATTGTTTTCAACATTAATAATAATAATACATGCTTCTTGAGCACCACATTAGCATATGTGAATGATTTCTGAAAGTTGAGACACTAAATACTGGATGGCTGCTGAAAATTCAGCTTTGCCATCAGAAATAAATTATTTTAAAATGTTAAAATATATTAAAATAGAAAAACATTTATTTTAAATTGCATAATCATTTCACCATATTCCTGTTTTTGCTTTATTTTTGACCAAATAAGTGAATATAAGATACATTAAAGAGGTCTTGCTGAGACTTTAGTATGGTATACATTATTAGCTCAAGTTTTATTAACATGAATCATATCAATAAAGTTTGACTAGAAAAGAAAACAACACATGAATGGTGTTACAGTGACACTTCTTCTGAATTCGGTAATTAAATCAATGTTAAAGGCTTCTGAATTGATTTCAGCTCAAAGAAATATGTAGCATTACCTCCTCCCAAGCTGAGACGAACTCCTCCCAGGAAGTCATTGCTATGCAGGGTCTCTCTGTCCCAGACGGTGAGCTCCAGACATACATCCTTCAGCTGCTCCAGACTCAGGTCGGTGTACACAAATGTGTGGTTGTAGTTTGGGTTCTTTGTCTTCTTCACTACCGGAGTCTTCTTCTTTGAGGAAGACTTGTTCTTTGACGGCAGCAGATACCTGAAAGACAGTGCTATTAGTAGATATAAACAAACAAAGGCCTTTTAAAACAAAACAGATGTAATGAAACCGATGTTTGCAAACCCTTTCACAAAGGAATCACATGTGCCTCCAGCTTTCATGGCTGTCAGATTTTTGGCCTCTTTGATCAACACGTGCAGCTCAGCACCCTCTGTGGGTTTGGTCTTTTTTCCTTCAGTAGAGAATAGGTGGCATAATTTACTATGTAACAAGCTAAAGACATTTTACAGATTATGTTAATGGTTTTCCCCTCACCTTTTCCATTAGAGTCTTCTGCATGTGTCTTATTTGCTGTGACGTACTTCAGTGAAATCACCAGCTCTCCTTTGTACTGATCAAATGGAGATGCTGGCTGAGCAGCTGCCTATGAAGACAAACAGGAAAAAATGTAGAGATACAAAGAAGGTTCACTCTTATACGTATGAATGGGAGAAACTGCAACGCGCAATATGGCGGAATAGTCCCACCTTTTAATGAAAGAGCCGATCGCTGACTGGTAAAGTCATTTAGTCAATGCAGCGACCATTAGAATCTCCAGTTCCCATAGAAACCTGATCTTATTTTTAATAAAAGCTTATTTTTGCATGCGCATTGGCTGGCCAAGCCTAAAAATAAGCTTTTTAAACGCTATTTGAACATAAGAAACAACATTCATGGGGCAGTTCATATCAGATTTTGTTGCGGATTTGAAATATGTCATTTAATTGCGAGTTCAGCGAGCAGTTTTTGAGATTTCAGGATTCCCCCATTCATTTAGATAGGACTTGGCCTTGTATGAGCTGCCCGGAGGCATTGAAAATATGGCCAGACTTTCCGTGAAAGGGTTTTTGGTATAAATCAGGCTTAACCATAACACAAAACAACAACTTGAGTACAGGGACTTATTGCTGTAGCATCAAAACAAACATATACCTTTCCTCTAAGAGCCATACACTTTTGATGTGCAGAGTCAATATCATGGCTATCCATTGGTACCTCCACCTCACCCAGAAAGGCATTGTGGCCAAAACGGTCATAGTGCCAAACTGAGAGTTGCAGTGTTCGAGTCGTGAGCTGGGTGCGGCTGATGGAATACTAAAACAAACAAGCACAAGACAGGTTGTCACTATAAAATAAATGACAGTAAGAGGTTACCCTGTAGGAGCTTTGGCCAGTTTGTTTAGTCTGTTTGTGTGAACTGCGCATGTTGTTTGCTCTAGATTAAAATGGGGCAAGCATATGAACTAATATTTGTCTGACTGTGACTCGGTGATAACAGTGTACTTATCTTCTCTGTCAATACTAAGCCCATTCGAAACCTGATGTTAGTGTGCAGTGTTTTAATTACCTGCCATTAAAGCACAGCATTTAGACTTTTAAGTGTTTCTATTATTACCCACTGGTATCAGTTTCTGATAGTATTTATTGTTCCAAACCATGAGGAATTAGTTATTTTGGGGAGTTTGGTTTAGCTAGGAATCAATTTATTGAAAAGTAATTGAAACTATACCTTCAGTGTTTCCTTAAAACTGGGGTTAATGTTATGTTTGATTGAGGTTTTCTTCTTGCTTTTGTCTGGGAGGAGGTAAGCCTTGACGTATCTGTAAAAAGAAATCAACCAATCGGGGGAGTTTAGCAGTGATTTTCTCTCTGTAACGGGGAAACCCAGTGGTATGAGTCATGGGTGGAAAATTATTATTCTTGGAAGACAGTAAAGAACTGAGACCCTCTCAGGAAACCACATGGAAATCACTTAGCATATGCTGTGTGGAGGCCTACTTACGGGTTGCACTTCTTTTTTGCTGCATCAGCATAAGCCAGGCCTTTACACTCATGGATCACAATAGACAGGCACTGGCTGGGCTCGTCGTAGCCGAGAGAGAAGAAAATATCTCCACTCACTTCCACACAGTCATAGTCTCCTGCTTCACTGTACACACTCATCGTACTACCAAGAGTGGCCTGTGAAAAAAAAAAGACAGCTGGGTAGCATATTCAACTGTTTAATATTTGATTTTATGTAATTTGTGATTTTATTTAATAAATTAATTTAAACCAAAAATAAATATATAAATACTGTTGTATTATTAGTAATAATCTATTTAAAATTAAACAATGTCAATATTACTTCATTTTAATAATTATTTAATATTATTTTAATTAATAATATTAAAGTGGGTTACCCTCGAGCCTCCCAAACTTCCTGAGCTATTACCGAATTTCTGCCTGTGTATATTCACCAAGTTATCAATATCTTCCTCCTCCTCCTCGTCATCCTAATGAAACAACTCAGACATTCAGGTCACTTTAGATTGCAGATGTAATTAATGCAGTGCAAACTTGTTTAAAATAGTTTGAATTTGTTAGAAATAAACTCACAGCATTAAGGCCAGGAACAGACTGGCTTCTGTCTCCCATAGAGGGTGTAGCACTTTCTGTTCCATCTTCACGCAAATCAAGCGTGGAGGCTGGTTTAATATCTATGACAAAACAGTGTTTGCATATTTAAAACCCAGAGTAAAGTAAAGTAAAATAAACAAATGTACACTAATGTTCAAAAGTTTGGGGACAGAAGATTTTGTAATTTTGTAAAGATTTTGTAAGATTTTTAAGTTTCATATGCTCACCAAGACTGCACAAATTGGAATAAAAAAATACAGTAAAAACAGTAATATTGTGAAATATTATTATAAATCAGAATAACCATTTTCTATTTGAATACATTTTAATATTACATTTATTCCTGAGATGGCAAAGCTGAATTTTCAGCAGCCACTACTCCAATCTTCAGTGTCACATGACCCTTCAGAAATCATTCTAATATGCTGATTTGGTGCTCAGAAAAGATGTATTATTATTATCAACTTTTGTGCTGCTCAATATTTTTGTGGAAAACCATGATACATTTTCTCAGAATGATTTAATAAATAGAAAGAACAGCATTTATTTGAAATATAAATTTTTGGCTTTAAATGGCTTTAATGTCAGTTCAGATCAATTTAATGCTTCTTTGCTGAATGAAAGTATTACATTCTTTTAAAAAAAATTGCTGAAACTTGCTGGTCCCAGACTATTGAACAGTAGTGTATACTCATACCTGATAGTTTGTGCACTCTTCTGACACTTTTCTTGAAAAGCCCATCCACGTCACGCAAGGAGTCAGAGCAGGCATTCATGTGATGAATTAATGAGGCCTTAATTTAGAGGAGTGACGGAAATTCAATAGGTGACACATAAACAGAACTAGGACAGAGAAAATACATGGCTTAACAGGGTGAGCTATGAATAAACACTTACTGTCTCAGTGGTAGATGGGCTGTCACTGTTAGCGGGGAGCATCAGGATGGACACAGCAGGGTCTGCTGAACTAGTCTTGTCTGTCGGTTCCTCTTTTCTAGGTGCAAAACAGAGGCTTCCATCACAATACTACATCATTAGCCATGGATTTCTGTATCTCAGAATCAGATCTTACCTTTGCATTATGGGGGTACTGTGAGACGATTCGGTCTCAGCACGGCTGCTGCCCAGACTGGCTTTTTCTATTGATTCTGTGTCACTATGTTGTTGCTCTCGCACATCAAGTCCCTCATAAGCCTCAAGAGGTGAGCTGAAAGAATGAGACAGGATGAAGTATAGAGTGCTGAACAAAGGTGTCATCCTGTTAAATAAATATTAAAACACCTCAACCATACTGCCACTGCATAGCTGGAGACATACATGTAGAATAGAAATAGTACACAGGATAAAAATATACTTTACTACTCATCCTAACGTCATTACAAACCTACATGCTTTTTTTTCTGTGGAACACAACAATGATAAGATCTCAAACAAACAGACTAGACGTTATCATCAAATGTATTTGCTTTTGCATGTCTCGTAACCAAATGCTATTAAGTCAAAACTGCACCTACTGGAGCTTGACAGCTTGTGGAGACTGTTGTTGTACAGAAAAGATCTATGTGAATGATCTCTAAAACATATATATTTGTGTGTCTACGTGTGGTTTGCAGAAAGAAAAAAAATAACAGCATACAGTTTACAATGATACAAGGATTAATACATTTTGACAAATTTTGTATTTTGGGGTGAACTATCTCTTTAACAAAGAACTTGGCTGTGTGATATTTAATAGAATAAAGTGATAACACTTATTAAAGAGATGATTGGAAAAACAAATATTTAAAATGAAATAGTAAATATTTAAAATGATAAAGAACATTACATTATTTGCTCAGTAGAAACATGAGACTACACATAATAAGTGCTGCTGATGACACACCTCTTATGTGCTAGTGCAATGTCCTTCAGTCTTGGCTTGGGCACAGGTACAGTTTGGCTGGAATTCAACTCAGCTCTGTTTAACAGCATTTCCCCAGCTGTCTCATGCTTTTTACCTAGAACAGAGAGATGTGATGTTTGAAATGGGGAAGTGAGTTTTGTATAATGATTAATCTTAAAACAGTCATTTTACTCTAGAGTAAACAGGAGAACTGTTCTTATGTCCTCTCCTCTTGGTGAACACACACAAAGAAAATCTACTTTCCACCCTTCATGAAAACAAAAAGTTAAAGTCTCTATCAGACTGTCTGGTATCTGCTTCCTGCACTCACTCAGAGGCCTTTTCCTGAGGGAAACTCGGACTAAGTCGTGTCCAGGATCTGTAGAGTAGCGGTTAACCCTCTCGTCCAAGAACCAGTCTCCAGTGCTCATCTTCAGATTTCTGGGGGGAGAAGAAAAAAAAAAAAAAAAAACCTTAAGTTTAGTTTTTTGTTGAACATTAACCTTTTCCATTAAGCAAGGTCCTAATTTTCCAGTCTAATGTGCCTCTTAATGATAGGGTTTCTAAGTGGACTGAGGCCAAAGAGAGGGATACTGGGAGGCACAAGGTACACACTCACATCTCTTTGGCACACACTGTGCACATCCAAGATCCGTTGGGTCGAGCAGATTGACATTTTTTGCAAACATGATGTTTGCATACTCTGCACTGGCTACCGTTGTGGGTCAGAAGGCCCATAGGCTCTTGACAGCGGCCACAGCTGCGCTCGCTATATTTCCCACTGCCACGTTTCGCACCCTTTCTTCTGATTTCCAGCAACTCAGTTTTTAGCTTCCTAAAAATAAAAAAATTTGCATTTATTCCCCTGAATTTCTTGCCTGATCCTTTCCAGGGTACAAAATAAGTTTTTGTAAAGTCTAAAGGCCTGTTCATACAAAGGACAATAACTTTAAAGTTTTAATAATAACTCTAATTTTGTGAGAATAGGGAAGTCCACACCACAGCTATAACGATAATGAAACAGAAGAATCACTGTTATAACAATTTTTTATTTCCAGCTGATGAACATTAAAAACATTGACGGCCAATCAGAATACATCAGACTTTAACGGGTTAGTTCACCCAAAAATGTAAATTCTGTCATTAATTACTCACCCTCATGTTGTTCCAAACCCGTAAGACCTTCGTTCATCTTTGGAACACAAATTAAGATATTTTTGATGGAATCTGAGAGCTGTCTGACCCTATATAGACAGCAACGCAACTGAAATGTTCCCAAGTCCAGAGACGTAGCAAGGAGATCTGTAAAATAATCCATGTAACATCAGTGGTTCAACTGCAATTATACGAAGCTACGAGAATACTTTTTGTGTGCAAAAGGAAAAAAAAAAGAACGACTTTATTCAACAATTCGTCTCCTCCGCCTCACCCTGTAGCGCCATTTTGGAGAGTATCCGCTGGACATAAACGTATGCTGTTCTGTGTCAGCTGCGTCACACGGATATGCTGTTTTCGTTCAGATCAAATCACAACAACGTAGGAAACAGATCCGGCGTGACGCAGCGTGACTACGCAGAGGAGACGAATTGTTGAATAAAGTCTGGGTTTTTTTCTTTTGCACACAAAAAGTATTCTCGTAGCTTCGTATAAATGCGGTTGAACCACTGATGTTACATGGATTATTTTACAGATCTCCTTGCTACGTCTCTGGACTTGGGAACTTTTCAGTTGCGTTGCTGTCTATGCAGGGTCAGACAGCTCTCAGATTCCATCAAAAATATCTTAATTTGTGTTCAAAATGGCTAATATAGTGATTCTTATAGCTATCTTCATAGTTTATGGTTTGTGGTGTGACCAGGCCATTAAACAAACATAAACATTAAATAAACTACATTCTTCAAATTAAAAAGTATGGGGTCAGTAAGATTCTTTTTAATCAAGGTTTTTTAAGAAGTCTCTAACCAAGGCTGCATTTATTTAATAATAATAAAAAATAGTTAAAACAGCAATATTGTGAAATATTATTATGATTTAAAATAACTTTTCTATTTTAATATGCTTTAAAATGTAATTTATTCCTGTGAAGCTGAATTTTCATCAGCCATTACTCCAGTCTTCAGTGTCACGTGATCCTTCAAAAATCACACTAATATGCTAATCATACTATTATTTCTTCGTATTGTTAATGTTGTAAATGGCTTCTGCTTAATATTTCTTGTAGAAACCATAATAAACGTTTTCAGAGTTCTTACTGACCCAAAATTTTGAACGGTACTACTGCATTAAAAAAAAAGAACTTAATGTGATGTATAATGTACACTTAAAAAAAACACAACAGGTAACCAGGTTGCATAAATTAAGCTACATTTTAATTTTTTTTATTAATTATTTAAATTAATTAGTCACTATGGTTATTTTGAGACCAGAGCAATTATTTATTGCTATTTTAAAATCATATAAATTACATCTGAATAATTTTATTTAATTCTGCATTTCTAGAACAAGACTTATTCTCAATGACGCAACTGTGACACTCACTTTACACGGAGCTCCTCCAAGCGCCTCAGCTCCTCATCTCGCCGAAGGACTTCTAGTATGAATTCTTGCTCAGACTCAGTCAGGAAGGACACGTTGATCTCCATGTTCTGTTCCTTGGGAGTCAAGTCCTGCTTCTAAGGAATAATAAAAAACAAACAAATGGCTCTGGATGCCATGGAAGTCTCAAAATATTAAAGGAGTCATATGATGCGATTTCAATTTTTCCTTTCTCTTTGGAGTGTTACAAGCTCTTGGCATAAAGAAGATCTGTAAAGTTGCAAAGACTAAAGTCTCAAATCAAATCAACCACGCCTACCTAAAACGGCTCGTTCTAACACGGCCCCACATATCTACATCACTATGTGGGGAGATTTACATAACACCGCCCAAATGTTCACGCAAAGAAAGAAGGCGTAACTTTGATTCTCGCTGTAGTATTGTTGCTGCCACTGCCGCCATGTTGTGATATAAATTACATCTGAATAATTTTATTTAATTCTGCATTTCTAGAACAAGACTTATTCTCAATGACGCAACTGTGACACTCACTTTACACGGAGCTCCTCCAAGCGCCTCAGCTCCTCATCTCGCCGAAGGACTTCTAGTATGAATTCTTGCTCAGACTCAGTCAGGAAGGACACGTTGATCTCCATGTTCTGTTCCTTGGGAGTCAAGTCCTGCTTCTAAGGAATAATAAAAAACAAACAAATGGCTCTGGATGCCATGGAAGTCTCAAAATATTAAAGGAGTCATATGATGCGATTTCAATTTTTCCTTTCTCTTTGGAGTGTTACAAGCTCTTGGCATAAAGAAGATCTGTAAAGTTGCAAAGACTAAAGTCTCAAATCAAATCAACCACGCCTACCTAAAACGGCTCGTTCTAACACGGCCCCACATATCTACATCACTATGTGGGGAGATTTACATAACACCGCCCAAATGTTCACGCAAAGAAAGAAGGCGTAACTTTGATTCTCGCTGTAGTATTGTTGCTGCCACTGCCGCCATGTTGTGAAGATGCTGTGTGTTTCGTTATGAAAGCGAAACTACTTTGTTTGGCCTTCCAAAAGAGGACACAACTAGAAAAACTAGTGGTTAAGTTGTATTTACAACACTGTTCTAGAACAGTTCAATCTAAATATTCAGATGTGTGCAACGCATTTTATGGAGGACGAGGACTGTTTCCTGGGAGAGTAGCCTACAATGCCGGTTTCTGTTTCTATAAAGTGGGGCAATTCCAACTTTGCAAGGACAGTCTGGCGCTTCTGACTCACAGCCTGTAAGTACGTTTTCATATTTAAATAATTTGCCACAGACGATTCAAACGCACGTTTTGAGCAGTGTAGAGTAGTGCTTGCTGTTTGTCGTTTCTCCGATCACAAATGCAGACATTGTTTTATGTTTACGCAGCGCGATTCGCAAAGCAACGTGTAAAAAGACAGTACAAGTCATTATAATCAGTAATTATGTCCCCACTAGATGCAACAAATGCCTCTGTGACGAGAGGGGTGGGGCTGAGAGCCGTGGGAACAGAGCGAGGCCGGTGGAGTAAATGCTAATGCACCTACGCCACTTGGTCTCGAGTCCCATGGAAGAGCTCCGGAAGGATAAAAGGAGGAGTGACAACAGTGTTGGACGAGAGAGGACCAGGCCTGGATTTTATTTTGTGTTTTGGTTCTGTTTGTGCGGGCTGTCACGCTACTTTGTGTTCATTTTATTATTAAAGTTTTGTTTAAATGTTCGCCGGTTTCCGCCTCCTTCTTCCCGATCTACGAACTTTTTTACAGCCTCTTTTATAATGGGTTTTACTGGTTTTGTCTCCTCGCGCGGAACACGGCATCACAGTATGGTAAGGGCGTAACATTTCCATCACAAGCTTGAGGTATTCACCAATCTGGCCAATCAGAGCACACCTCACTTTTCAGACCGATTAGCTTTGTAAAAATCGACGCGTTTCAGAAAGGCGGGGCATAGAGGAGAAACAATAATGTACATTATGTGGAAAATAATGTTTTTTTTTAACCTTAAACCGCATAAACACATTGCATTACACCAAATATAAAAAATAATGTTCTTTTTAGCAATGTCATTTGACCCCTTTAAATGTCAACACAAATGCGAATTACAGAAACTCGTAGAACCACATACAACCGCTTACCGAGTAACATACCAGTGTTGCTTACCGATAATAATGAATATACAAGCACCTAACCAAGAATATGTCATTTGCTTTTCAGAGACAAGTCCAATATAAGCTTATATAATGAGAGTGTTACACAAATAAAGGAAGTCCTACTGTTTGTAAAAAGGGTAGAGACCTGGAGACAGGGCAGAATTGACAAAGAAAGGGAGTGACCTTTCACAGTTCCTCCACGCAGTGTCTGTCAGTGTCAGTGGCTCTTCAACACCTCCCTGCAGGAGCTAATTAGACAAACATAAGGACACCCTGTGACATGCAGCTCCACATGCAAATGAGTGGTTACCGATGGCTCGCAATGCCAATATCGCAGCAGGGAAGTGGAGATATTCACATCCCAGCATCTACCACATAAATCACGTATAAGCATATCAGCATTAGTAAATCATTTAATAAATCAATCCAAGCAAATGTACGTATTTTGCTAAAATATAGGTAGGCTCTAAACGAGACAGCTTCTCATCATGTTCTTACTGAAAAGAAGGAAAATAATATTCTGACCAGAGAGCATGAGAACCTTGTTTTGATTAGTCACTGGTAAAATTATGGACAGCAAATCAATCAAATGTATGTTGTTTGAGAATAAATAACTAAGAGCCTGGGAAAAGGGGCTGAGCACTGGAATGTCATCAGGAAAAGAGGAAAACAACATGCAGTCAGCTTATCACAGGAGTTGCCGCCCTTTATGGACACACAACCATGGGTGGAGGTCTTCAGCAAACCTACACTCTTTAATGAGGCATTTATGATGATTATTACTTGGTAGCTAGCACCCATAAGCCTTGTGAAAGCCCTTTGAGCTCAACTGGCGGAAAGCATGTGAGAAAAAAAATTAAATTCAATAACCTTCAATTAAGACTGGTTTGGTCAATATCCAAAATAAATAGACCTTCTTAACAAACTTGTTCCTCATTCTTTGAATGTTTCAGGAAAATAGAAAGGATTAAAGTGTGCATGGACCTTCCTCCAGCTAATGTAAGTTATAACCTACTGATATAGATCTGAAGGATCTGTCCTGCTCTAACACATGGACAACAACGTCAAATTGACTTAACTAAATTATCCAACACTAACGTTACACATAAAACAGTCCAATATTAAACAGAAAAGTAACAGTTAACGTATAGGAAAATAAAACGCAAAATAACAGTTAGCGCGTAAAGGAAAATAGAATACAAATGTTAGCACACTTCAAGATCTTAAAAGAAGAGTGAATACATAAAGGCATAATGACAACAACTTAGACACTCTCTCGACTCGTTGCGTCTCTTAGGGAAGCATTTTATTCTAAAGTAGAATCTAAACAGTGTTAGTAGTTTGTCGTATTTAAAATAGATGCCTAACATCTTAACAACATTTCTTCAAATGTGCTTTAAATGTTTTCTTACCAATAGCGCAGTTTTTCTCCCTGAGAGCTCAATGACTTTCAGCTTTGCCAAATAAACGTCGTTCCGGAACAAACGCAAACTTTTCAGTCAGCGCTGGATCACCGTGCAACAGGTGCGCGCGCAGACGGCAGCGTTTCCTCCGTGGAAGGAGGAGGCCAGTCAGTGGACAGAATCACATAGTGCTGCTTAGTCCTGTGTTTTAAGATTTCAACTGATGTGAAGCTTAGAGAACAGCTAAAAAAATGAAATGTCAATAATAGTTTATAATGTATAAAATAATGCGTAAAGTTTATGTTGTGAAATATGTACTGGAACATTTTAAGCGCTGGAGTAATGACAAAAAGACACTTTTTGTATACAAGCAAATCTCTTTTGGATTAAAAAAAAATTATGAAGGGAACATTAATAGTAGTTATTTAGTTCTGGGTGGAAGTGATGTAATTATACATTTGGTCATACACTCTTTAATGAGGCATTTATGATGATTATTACTTGGTAGCTAGCACCCATAAGCCTTGTGAAAGCCCTTTGAGCTCAACTGGCGGAAAGCATGTGAGAAAAAAAATTAAATTCAATAACCTTCAATTAAGACTGGTTTGGTCAATATCCAAAATAAATAGACCTTCTTAACAAACTTGTTCCTCATTCTTTGAATGTTTCAGGAAAATAGAAAGGATTAAAGTGTGCATGGACCTTCCTCCAGCTAATGTAAGTTATAACCTACTGATATAGATCTGAAGGATCTGTCCTGCTCTAACACATGGACAACAACGTCAAATTGACTTAACTAAATTATCCAACACTAACGTTACACATAAAACAGTCCAATATTAAACAGAAAAGTAACAGTTAACGTATAGGAAAATAAAACGCAAAATAACAGTTAGCGCGTAAAGGAAAATAGAATACAAATGTTAGCACACTTCAAGATCTTAAAAGAAGAGTGAATACATAAAGGCATAATGACAACAACTTAGACACTCTCTCGACTCGTTGCGTCTCTTAGGGAAGCATTTTATTCTAAAGTAGAATCTAAACAGTGTTAGTAGTTTGTCGTATTTAAAATAGATGCCTAACATCTTAACAACATTTCTTCAAATGTGCTTTAAATGTTTTCTTACCAATAGCGCAGTTTTTCTCCCTGAGCTCAATGACTTCCAGCTTTGCCAAATAAACGTCGTTCCGGAACAAACGCAAACTTTTCAGTCAGCGCTGGATCACCGTGCAACAGGTGCGCGCGCAGACGGCAGCGTTTCCTCCGTGGAAGGAGGAGGCCAGTCAGTGGACAGAATCACATAGTGCTGCTTAGTCCTGTGTTTTAAGATTTCAACTGATGTGAAGCTTAGAGAACAGCTAAAAAAATGAAATGTCAATAATAGTTTATAATGTATGTTTTCTTACCAATAGCGCAGTTTTTCTCCCTGAGAGCTCAATGACTTTCAGCTTTGCCAAATAAACGTCGTTCCGGAACAAACGCAAACTTTTCAGTCAGCGCTGGATCACCGTGCAACAGGTGCGCGCGCAGACGGCAGCGTTTCCTCCGTGGAAGGAGGAGGCCAGTCAGTGGACAGAATCACATAGTGCTGCTTAGTCCTGTGTTTTAAGATTTCAACTGATGTGAAGCTTAGAGAACAGCTAAAATAATGAAATGTCAATAATATAATAATAGGCGTTTTTGAATAAAATAATGCGTAAAGTTTATGTTGTGAAATATGTACTGGAACATTTTAAGCGCTGGAGTAATGACAAAAAGACACTTTTTGTATACAAGCAAATCTCTTTTGGATTAAAAAAAAATTATGAAGGGAACATTAATAGTAGTTATTTAGTTCTGGGTGGAAGTGATGTAATTATACATTTGGTCATAGGATAGAAACTATTTTTTCTTTTTACACTGTTTGTGGTTAGAATTTTTCTTCTTTTAAAGATATTACTAATTGTATTCAGCAAGGATGCATGGAGCTAACCAAAAGTGACAGTAAATACATTTCTAATGTCACAGATTCCTGTGCTGTATAAATGCTGTTCTTTTGAACTTTCTGTTTATCAAAGGATCCCGAAATTAATTGTTTCAAGGTTTCCACAGCAAAATTAAGAAGCACAACTGCTTTCAACATTGAAAAGTAATGTTCTTTAGCACCAAATGAACCCATTTAACAGCATTTTGATCAAATCAGTTCAGAATTGATAATCATAAAATACTTTAAACAAAACATTTAAATAAATGTCTGAATGGTATTGTATATAATACAACAATTAATTAATATTAGGGAAATTCCATATACCTGTAAATAAAATAAATATTGATGGCCACTTAATAATTGGTGTTGCTCTTTATCTGTTGTTAGAGATAAAACGAAATAATCTTCACTGCGTTTCGAACACGACAGCCATACAGTACATAAGTGTACAGTGTTCATAAGTGAACAATATATATATTTTTTTATTTAAAATAACTACAAAATACTGCTAAATTTTGCATCTCAAACACACACACCCAAAGAAAAAAGTAAAACTAATTATAGCCGATTATAAAGATTAGAAGTAAAAACTTTATACATGATTGAATGTGTTTATCAGAGAGGTTTACACTCCAAGTCCAGAACTACATGACTGATATGTGGTGCGTATGTCTTAACATGCTCTATGTGCTTGATATTGGTCTTCCATTTGCTTCCAGTGATGTCTGACAAAAGTGTACAGATGCGTCTGGCTGTTTCTGAAGCCCAGGCAGTCCATGCTTGAATATCTCTCTGGATCCTCAGAGAAGATTCTTCCATAGAAGAGCCTTTTTCAACATCGATAGCAGATGAATGTTCAAGTGGTTCATGGTGCAAAGGTGTTGTGACATTTTGATGAATATGCAGCATTCCACCAGTGGCTCTCTTTAGCAGATGACATGCCACTGGCCATCCTTCCTCCGAACTTGGTATGAGGCCCAAATTCACTCGATCAGCAAGATCACACAATGGAAGCTAAAAAGGATGTCCAAAAGTGTATTAATTCAACTGAAAAATTACATAAGTGGGTTCATGATTAAATCAAGAACAACTATCTGCCAATGGGGTCAGAAAAATCAACTGGTATTCATAGGGAAAACACATTTTTTGACCCCACTGACAGAGGTTTTAAGCATCAACTTAATTTTGTTCAGTTGCACAGAAAACAAGACTTCATATCTTAATTTTGCAACTCAAGAAAATGTTTCTTGATTTAAGGATGTTTAGATGTTTGAACTGGTCAAAAATGCTGAGGAAGATTTTTATTTTTTGCAGTATATGCAACATTTGATGCCATGAATGTACGATTTTTGCTTTTATTTATGGCTGGTTTTTAAGGCTTTAATTTGTGGAAGAGCAAAGACCTAGAGAACCCCTGATTTGGACATGTTCACATAATGAGAAAATTATTATACATTATTATACATTGTCTCTTATCCAATGAGCTGATTCTCATCCACAACAAAAATGTTTTTGTTTTGTTTTTTCTAAAATATTAGTAAGTGAACTTAAGATGATGTCCATCAGCACTTTTGTATCTCAGTGTACAAGCTGTTATCCTGACCTGTCTGTTGTCTCCTGGATGGACAGTGCAGCGGTCTGACACACTGTTGACCTGCAGGTTTCTCTGTAAAGCTTTTACTGCATCTGCGTTCCATTCACATGCATGCACATGAGCAGCCTTAGCATGTACAAGATATGGAAGAGTGAAGTAGCCAATCCCTGGACAGTGGGGCAAAATCTGATCATACATCTTGGGTGACTAAAAACCATTCCAATGGCACACACAGCATTGCTTTTACCTGCATATAAGTCAACCACAGTCTCTCCACTGCAGTCAAAGGAGGCTATTCTGAGCTTCTCTGTGATATTCCCAGAAGAGAACATGCACTTGGTGACATCAAACTCATACCTAAATTTTAGTCAGACAGATTTGATTAATTTGAATATTTATTTAATTAATTTTTTTCAAATAACACAGCATCTTATTGGTTACCTAATGTGGTTATCAATGTGTGTTACATAGCTGCTGTCTCCTAAAAGCATAGTCACTATAGGTGTGCGATAACCATCCTGGGAGATTTTTTTAATTTGTGCTATACGTTTCCCCCCCAACGTCAGGGCAACTGCAGTCCAGAATTCAGATCCTAAAACAAATAAATATATTCAAAAATATATTGAAGACAAGCTAATTACTATGAGATATTACTCTGGAAAAAAATATTAATACAGAATATATAATCTAATTATTTTATATGCAAGCCTGGATATACAGAGGGTCTGAGATTCATGATCACCCACCAATTTCTTTCCATATTGCATTAGAAAAGGAGCCTTCGCTAAACAGGACAAGATCTCCATGGCATTGCCATCGGCTAGGAATGTCTCTTTCTAGATCTTCACTCCATTTTTCTCCTTTAGAAACCAGCAAAGACTGTGCAGTCTCTAGAAGCCTCTTATAAGAAGATTTAACTTTTTCCTTCTTTGATAATGGGGGAGCCTAAAAAAATAAGCAGATATACCGACGCTCAGATGTTCAGTGAATTGGGTGCAAACATATATCTTAAATAATTGTGAATGCTTACCTGGATATCAACAATTTCACAAAAGCTGTCCTGCGCGACATCTTTTGTTAGTGCCACTAGATCAAGCTGTGTCAGACAAGATACTATGACTGGAAGGGTTACAGTCCCATCTGGGTGTTTCTGTGCACAGTACTTGCGGTCCAGAACACCTTGTGACAGTAGGTATTTTCTGAAAAACAGTTATACATAGTAATACACCAGGTTTCATGTAAAACCATTCAAGTTAACTGGTTTTAACATGACAGCGACGTCCTTACTTATTTTTACCCACGTTTCATGGAATATTTCAGTATTAACATAAAGAGATACCTTATGTTGATCATTATAAATCATTAACACTCAAAAAAAGATTTAATAACTGGCCAACTAACACTTTTAATCTGTTTAGTGTGTGATATATTTTTTATTGCAAATGCAAAAGGAATAAAAAGTTAAACTGTTCAAAAAACAAGAACCGATATCAACAGATTGCTTCTATAAATTAAACTTAATTTTGCATAAAGGAAATTATACCGCAGAGATTCGGAGAGCAACTATTTGTATGTATCCTACCTGTACATTTGTGCGTGACGCTGCGGCACTTTTAAACACGGAATTACAACCATTTTCCACAGGAGGCGTTAGAAAAGTAATCAAAATATATTAAGTATCTAAACAAACTAATATGGGAGTCCATCAAAACCCAATTGACATGAACGAACGAGACACTGTCACCGTCGCGTTCGAGTAATATCGTTCCTAGTCGGTTCCAAACTCCTGTAGGAATAATATCAGTGTTGCACTCGAAGAGCGCCTGGAAACAGGAAACAGTGCTGCTGTAATCATAAAAGAAATATAACAGACGTAATTATAAAGTTATGTGTGTGTCTGTTAATTTTTATATAAGTTGAAATTATAATACTACTAATAATAATAACAATAAAGTAAAAATACTGTCTTTTTTCGAGTCATCATCCGACGACACCAGCGAACGGTAGATGGCAGAATGCTTTGGATTTTACCGCGAAAAACATCCGCGTGGTAGCGAAGAAATACAGAGCGCCCAATCACAGTAAACGCAGCTGTCCCACGTGACACTTTATAAACAGAACCGAAAACAAGCAAGGTAAGATGTCTGTTAGAAAATTACATCTCCGCGTTACCGTACTCTTTTACAAGTTTACAGAGGTTCAGTTCTGATAACACTGAGATAAACTGCTTTTTCTGCGATCCTTATATCAACTGGAAAAAGTGTACAGTTTGTTGTAGAAGACATGTCTTTAATTCTACTTCACTTGACAACTGTTCTGTTAATAATATAATTTTATTCATTAATCTTTTAATAGATAATCTGCCTTTCACTGCCATTTAATGTAATGATATTTTGTAATTTTTACTTAAAAAAAAAAAAAAAGTTAAAATATTAATGGCAACCCTATAGCGAGGCACTAAGTCAGTGGAAAGTTGTGCCCTGGACAACAAAACCAGTCATAAGGGCCAATTTTTTTTTTTTAAATTGAGATGTATACATCACCTGAACGCTGAAATAAGCTTTCCATTGATGTATGGTTTAAGACATTATTTGGCTATTTGAAAATCTGGAATCTGAGGGTGCAAAAAAATCTAAATATTGAGAAAATCGCCTTTAATGTTGTCCAAATGAAGTTCTTGGCAATGCATATTACTAATCAAAAATTAGGTTTTGATA